ACACCAACCTCTAGATAGGCTGACTAGATTCACCAGTTGGACAAATAGTGGGGAATGCCTGGGAGTGCCAACAACACAGCAGACAGTAGCAGGGATATCAGAGTATAAGGGCTCTAGTGGGGAGAGGGAGGCTATGTTAGGGTGCCATTTGGGAAGTGGGTGTGCAGTTGAATAAGATGGCTTGGGATGTTCTGTGAGATATGTACACCAAAAAAATCAAGAAATTTTTTAAAATGTATTATATCTGAGGAGGAAGCATGGAAATTTACATCATGTTAATTAGTAGAGGTGATACTACTACTATTAGTAATGGTGATTACCATTGAAATCTACCCAATGACTTTATAGACATACACAGGCCCTAAGGATCCAAGTGCAACTGATTATGACTAGTAATAGTCAGATACGTACAGATTAGAGATACATGCACTAACATCTCAGTGTTAGTAGCAAAAACAATGAGTCTTTCTGCAAGGAACAATATATTCTAAAATGAAATGGAGATCTTTTTTAAAGGTTAAAAATACATTCAATTTTATGTCTTACAGGGCTTATACTGAGTCCAATACCGTATAACTGTATTAATTCAACTGTGAACCTAGAAACTTGCAGCCACTTGTGAAAGAGATGTACTCTTGTTCTGGAGTATATTACTGAATATGTTAAAGCTGTAATGAAATGCTTCTTCTAATCATGTAGTTATTAAAAAATTTAAAATAAATAAAATTAATTAACTCAAAAAAGTCATCTATTTCCTTTTCTTCAAATCCATATATTTTCACATACTGCAAACACTTACCTGACTTTTTTGCCTTGTTCAGTAAGCATCTTTACCAAATCAGCAATGGGGTACTGAGCTTTGGCTGCACAGAGACCATAGCCTAGAAAAGAACATTAAGAACACAGAAGAATGTGGTTTTATTTTGAGATCTTATGGATGACAGCCTCCCTCTTGATCAAAACATAGACAGCTTACAATAATAAATGAAAGAAAATTTACAATGTGAACTTTAAAAGATATTATCTGGAATTTGAAATTCAAACTCTAATGGCCCCTCCTCAATCCTCCATGAGTCCTATGCTACAGAATGCCTCTGTCTACCTACTGTGTATACACTTGTCTGTGCCCTCGTCTCTCTCCTTCATGCACATTCTTATTTTTTAATATTTTATTGACTATTTTTATTTTATGTGTATGAGTGCATTTATTGCCTGCCCATGTGTAAGTGCACCTGTGTATTGCAAGACTGTAGAGGTCAGAAGAGGGCATCGGATCCCCTGGAATTGGAGTTATGGACAACTGTTAGCCACTGTATGGGTGCTGGGATATTGAACCCAGCTCCTCTGCAAGAGCAGCCAGTGCTCTTAATTGCTGGGTCATCTCTCCAGCTCCACTCACATTTTTAAATTCTGTATTTGGCTTTGATGACACTCAGGTCCTGTGGTTCCCTCCTGACTTTGTAGCTATTCTTCCTCTAATACATACCTTGAATGTTTTCCCCCTTCTGTTGTCCTCCTTAAATGCCATGGCTTCCTCAGGACTTTAATTTTAACCCTCACCTCTCCTTAAATGTCTGCTCATCCCAGGACTCCCAACAAGTGTGCAGACTTTTTCAGGCTTGACCTGTTCATTTGAGCTCTAGTATCACATGATCACTGTCTAATCTTAATCTCTCTAAAAATAATTTAAAACACTTCTCCCTCAAGTGTACCCCCAAACCCAAATTAATTATCTGTACTAGAGGGTTTTAATGGATATAACCAAAAACTTCAATCATCTTCCTTCTCCTTTAATATTATGTGCATACTACATGGACAGTGACTCACATCTGTCCATACTTTTTCTAGTCCACTTTTCCAAATGCCAGCTCTTTGCTCTAGCGATCATCTCTGCTTCTATCCCCAACACTATCCATCCTCTAAAATCCAAAACAAATCTTCACTTCCCTCCAGCCCTTCTTGGATTCCTCATGATAAAAAATTGTCTACACATTTCAATTTAACCACTGTCATAGGCACTTGGCATTATTTATCTGCCTATCTGATTTCTTCACTGGGTAGACAAGTGCCTGGAGGAAGAGACCACCTCTCTACTTTTGTGCCTTTACATTCTAGCATAGCTTCTTGATAGCTCACACAGGTGTCATTTTGGTTAGGACAATTCACTATGCAGGTGTCACCCATACATTACAATATATTTCCATCCATGCACTAAGAGGCAACAGAAGCCTCATCTCTCTAACAACCAAAATTCCAAATTCACATTTCAAATACCCTAAGAAGTAATCCTATTCTATGTTGAGAAGGCTAGTACTAAAATATCCAATTTGGCTTGTGTCTGTTATTTTTATATGAATGTATTCTCAACCAGCAAATTACTTACATGCCAAAGTCAGTAGACATTCTTCATAGAAAACTTCTATAATGGCATGCATGACAGAGTTAAAAATCTTAATTCAAGCCAGGAATGGTGGCACATGTCTTTAATCCCAGCACTTGGGAGGCAGAGGCAGGCAAATCTCTGTAAGTTCAATGCCAGCCTGGTCTACATAGTTAGTTCCAGCCCAGCTGGGGCTACATGGAGACCCTCTCTCAAAAATACCAAAAAAAAAAAATCTTAATTCAACATTTTGTGACATTAAGTGAAAAACTGGACTATACCTTAGAAATTAGAAACTGAGGGCCAAGAGAGTTAAATGGTTTGGTCTGTGTCATGCAGTTAGAGGAAAAATTTAAAACATAGTGGCATGTTGGGACACCCAAGACAAGGCCTTTCTAGTCCATAGCTTTAACCATTCAGCCAAGACTACAATCACAAGGTAGGCTCTTTCTAGTAGGTCACAGTGTTTCACCTGTAGAAAATACATGATTCTTGATGATCTTTAAAATGCTGATTTTTGAAAAGAGACTAGTATTTAACTGAGTCTAATAATGAGGAAGTCAGACATTTTTTCATGCTATATCCAATTTAACCTTACAGATCCCAAAATTGCCACTAAGAAGGTAAACAAGACTCAACATATGCATAGAATCACAAATAGATGATATAAGATGTTACCTACTACACACTGACCATCTATGTTATCCCAAAATATTAACCTAAACTGAGAGTTCTCAACATTCCCCACTTAGTAACCATAGAGTTGCAACTCTTTCCATTCTGTTTTCAAAAATAGGGAGGTCAAAATTTACCTTTTTTCTATTATTTTAATGTAATCAATTACCACCGATATTATAGGTTGTTTTGCTTGTAGGCTTTGCTTCTATTTTTACCTGGAGTAATAACAATGCTATTAGCTTCCCGGATCATCTCAATTGCATTGTCAAGGTTGATTTCTGTATGTGTGCCAGAAATTTCCATGGATTTTCCACCAGCTGTTGACAAGGTGCCATATCCTCCAAGAATCACATTAGCCAGGGAGCGATTCATTGCCTGAAGAGCAAAGTTATCACCTATAAGAGCTAATCCATACAATCATTTGACATTCTCTGACAATAGTATGAATTTTGGGTACATGAAATTCAAAACCATTTAAAAGAACTTACTTAATAATTCAAAGCATTTTAGCCAGAGCTGGCTTATATCAGACACATCTACAAACTAGACCATTTTTCCCATCAAGTCAACTGCACACTATTATGTTTTCAGCAAAAAACTAAGACCAAGCCATTTAGTGAAAATTACCTGGAAAATGTACTAGTTAATGAAAACTTTGGATGAAGAATTATTGTCTGGATAGTGAGTAAACAACTTCTCTCTCCATATTTACATGTATTCACCAGAGTAAGAGAAAACCAAAGAGATTGACAAGAAGAAAAGGTTTTACAAAATGATTCAGAATGAGTTCTGATGCCAGATCAAGCTATCAAGAAGCAACTAGAAGGAATCTAAAATGATAATGACACATTTCTTTTAGAAGTCTGGGACCCTCCACATTCAAGAAAAAAAAAAAGAAAGAAAGAAATGTGGGTGTGAACACTTTTATTTTCCAAATCTATTATAGCTCCATGAAATACTATAGCTAAGTTGTCAAAGAAGTGTTGGATTCATCATGAATTCATCATTAACACTCAATACTTCACTCACTCTGGCGGATGAAGCCAGTTATAACTTTTCAAGTTTACACCTACCCTTTTCACTAGAAAAACAATCTCAGGAGAAAAATAAGAGAAGGGCAGCTCTCATCATATGCTCACTTATAATCATCCAAAAAAGTACCTTACAAATTCCTACCTAGAATACATAGTAGTAAGTGCTCTGGTTGTGTAAATAATTCATATGTAATAGCTGGAGGTAATGTGGTAAAAGGAAAGAAACTGTATGGTTTCAGTAACATTTAAAAATTTAAATCACCATACATGAACCAAAGCATTTTACATGATGAGAACTGACTTCATCATTTCAAAGAAAAAGAAAAAAAAACCTCTCAACTCTCAGCAAAGAAGCTTCTTCTTGCAGCAGACGGCAATTAACAGAGACCCACAATGGTCAACATGCAAAGAGAAAGAAACTGTGGAGTGCTCAGCCCTAAATAGAACACCACACCCTCTCCACCCAAGGCTCAGGGACCATTCGGGAAGAAGTGCAAAGAGTGTAAGAGCCAGAGGTGGTAGATGAATCAAGGAAATTGTGCTGTCTGGACACCACAGGGTAGTTGCACATATGAACCCACTACACATATAACAGCATGCACAAGATCTGTGCAAACCCAAGCCAAACAGGGGCCCAGCATGGGCATGGGAGGTGAGCAGGAAGCCCCAGCCCTAGCTGAGGATCTATTGGCAACTGATAGTTGCTGCAAGAGGCAGAGTCAGCTTTCCTTACTAGTGTGTCACCTGGTAGGTTGACCAGACTCCAAAGTATAACCCACATCCAAGAGCATTTTTGAAACACAGATTAGATTTGCTAGGCCTTTCTAAAAAGAAAAGACAGAGACTGGCGAGATGGCTCAGAGGTTAAGAGCACTAACTGCTCTTAAAGAGGACCAGGGTTCAATTCCCAGCACCCACATGGTGGCTAACCACCATCCATAACTCCAGTTCCAGGGATCTGACACCCTCTTCTGACCTCCGTGGGCAAGGCACAACATTGGGTGCACCTACCTACATGCAAGCAATACATTCATCCACATAAAATAAAAACAAATATTTTATTTTAAAAAAAGAAAAAGATAAAGAATAATAGAGGTCATGAACTTGGGGGGTGAAGACAGGGGTGGGGTCTGAATATGAGCAAAGTACATTGCATGAAATTCTCAGATTAATAAACATATTTTTAAGTTTACAATTATTAATCTAATACTTTAAAAAATTTTTATTTTTGTTTTATGTGTATTAATGTATTGCCTACATATAAGTAAGTGCACCCATGTCATGGAATGCCTGTAACATTCCAGAAAAGGGATCAGAGCCCCTGGAACTGGAGTTACAGAAGGTTGTTAGCCACCATGTGGGTTCTGGGAACTGAACCTGGATCTTTTATAAGAGCAGCCAGTGCTCTTAACCACTGAGTCATCTCTCCAACCCCAATCTATTACTTTTTTTTAAGTCTAAAAAAATCTAAAAATTAAAAAAAAAACACTTAGAAATCTTCAATGATAATACTACATCAAAGAAAAAACACGGTGATCCACACAATGACAGCTTTGCCAGTGACAACTTTGTAGGGACATTTATACAACTGGGGAAGTCTGGCACTAAACGAGGGGGAAAGAAATGTATAAAACCACAAATTGTCATTTTAATAAATAACATATATTTTAAAGATGATGGATAATAGGGTAAGAGAAATTTTGGTGTTTTTAATTAACATCATAATCCCAATCTGACATGACGTTTGTTTTGCTTTGTTTTTTTTTTGTTTTGTTTTGTTTTTTGAGACAGGGTCTCCATGTGGTCCCAGCTGGCCTGGAAATCACTATGTAGATCAGACTGGCCTTGCCTGCCTCTACCTCCCGAGTGCTAGGATTAAAGGCATGTTCCACTATACCCAGCTCTACTGACAGGAACATTTTAAACTCCTACATGAAAACTGAACTGGGACTTCTAAGGCATTCAGGTTTTGATGTTCCAGTTTATTTATAAGATTCTGTGATTCAATTACCAAAATATATGTTCTACCAAACTTTTGCCTTTAAAATTTTATTTTGAGAGCTGGGTGTGGTGGCACATGCCTTTAATCCCAGCACTTGAGAGGCAGAGGTAGACAGATCTCTGTGAGTTCAAGGCCAGACTGGTCTACATAGAGAGTTCCAAGCCACAGGGAGACCCTGTCTCAAAAAAATCCAAAAAAGTAAATTAATTTTGAGAAGCAGGCAGATCTCCTAAGGCAATTCTAGGCCTGCTGGGGCTATAGGGAGACCCTCTCAAAATGAACAAAATAAGCAAATAAATAATAAGTATTAATTTTTAAAACTATTATAGGGGCTGGAGAGAAGGCTCCGTGGTTAAGCATGGTTGGGGACAAACATGAGGACAGGAGTTTGGATTCCATTTCACACATAAAAGCCAGACATGATCTCACCACACCTATAACCTGAGGATGAGGGGAAGCAGACACAGAAGGATCACTGTGGCTTGCTGGTTGCCAGCCTAGCCAAAAATATGAACTTCAGATTCATATCCTCAAAGGAACACAATAGAACATGATAACAGAAGACACAAAATGCCCTTCTCTGGCCTACACACACACCACACCCACACACCCACACAAATTGTTTTATACACTGAAATTTCTGGGGCAGAAAACTTTTTCAAATGGACTTAGTCCTACAGAGCAACCAACAGATCACAGAAGTGCATGATGCCAAGGGATAGATAGGTGGAGACAGAACCACATCACTGTAACTTGGCTGAAAAAGAAGCATTATGTCTCTTATAAACCAAATGGAAGAGAAGAAAAGAATCTCCAAGGATATTTAATTAAAGTCCACTCAATTAAAGTGCACTCACTTAGGGTGGGAATTTAGGGAGAAAAAATAGTGGTTCAACAACAAAGTCTACTTGTTAAACACAGATGCAAAATTATATCACCATTATACTAATTTCATGTGGTCTCTTAAAAATTACATTGACTTTTCATCTCTTAATTTACTATTGCAACATCATGTTCTCAACAAATGTTTAGGGCTTATGGCTTTGTTTGCCTTTTTTAATGTTTTTGCTTGCTTGCTTGCTCAAGTGATTCATGGGACTATCCTGTGGCCACTTACACACAGATTGAAGAGTTCCCAGATCCCAAGACAAAAAAATTGCTACACTGTCCAAGACTGTTCCTTTGGAGCTAATAAGTCCTATAATGAAAGTTGTATTCTACATTAAAGAGATCATTAACTCCCATAATTCCAAATACACTGGAAGAAATGAGTGTGAAAACAAAAGAAAGTTCATAAAATAGACAATGACAAAGCCAGAGCATATACACCATTGACTGGTGCCTCCTGCTTCAGTGGTTTGCAGATGCTAATTCATCAATTACAAAGCAAAAGAATAAAGTTTTGTTTGGCTTGACTTTTGACTTACTTCATTCTTTCTGTGTCCATTTGTAAACAAAGTATAAAGATAAGAAATTGTTGTCTAAAGAATGCTATTCCAGTTCTGTAAGACCGCTATTTCCCACATGAAACAAATTCTATTATAAGCAGAGGGACTGGACTATAGAAATATAAAGATGTAAATTATAGTTTGATATAAAAAATCATTATGTTTTCTGTTTGGACACTTTCAGCATTTTTTTTTCAGTTTTTATTATATGGGTTGTTGTGTAACCACAGCACTGGGCTCAGAAGATACCCAAAGGAACTCATTGTCAGAAAAAAAATTTGATTTTAGAGATTGCTGGTTGGTCACTAGAGGAACATTCCACTTTTTCCCACACAATAAAACCACCTTGCTTTGGTTTTGACTTACATATTTCCTTCAATAAATAATAAAGAAGGTCAACATATTGGTATCATATGAACTCCAATATCTGCTATTATACCCTACCCATACAGGACTCTAAAATATGAAATAAGCTCACAAAATAGTCATTTAATGTTTACTATTCATTCAGTAAACAGCATATTAATTTGAATATGGCAGGTGCTAAGCCAGGCTTCATAGACACAAAAGAGAATATATTAAAATACCTTCCCTGCAAAATAAGACTATTTCCCACCTCCAGGATTATTACGGATATGAAATAAGATATCTGCACAACACCTTACATAAGACTCACGGTTTTAAACTAATGCCTAACCTCAAACAGCTAGCATTTTATCAGTATTTTATTCTAAACTACATTGAGCTACTAAGTATGAGCCTTAAAATTTTTTCTTGTAATAGAGAAGTACAAGTTATGAACCAGTGAAAGTAGAAGAAAAATGTCAGCTAGCAGAAAAATTTGGAATGAATAAAACATCTATCTTCAGTATAGCCTGTTTCTTGTTGGTTTCTTGCTAGTATGATAGTATGATACTATCACGATAGTATGTGGAATGCAGTATGAAATGAAGAAGCACACTGTCCATCAACAGTACTAGCTCTGACCACAGAGCTTCTATGGAGCTCAGTCATCAGCACCAAAAGCCAACAGAGAGATCTCACTCCCTCTTACCATGTCACCACACTGGGAAAATCTTACTCAAGGAAATAAAGATGCACAAGGAGGAACACATCAACCAAAACAAAGTTAAGAACCTTGACTAATAGGAGGTTACATATGGATACATTATGGTATAGCTATATACTATACTAACATGTAGATGTTGAAAAATGCATTAGACAATTAGATTTAATATTAGAAAATAAAGTAACACATTAAGCAGAATGAACATGAAGACAAAAACCCAGAACTAGAACATTAAATGTTAATCGTTATATGGTAAATGGATATTACATCATTTTATATTTCCTCTATCCTTTTCTATTCCATCCAAATTCCCTAATTTAAACATATTTTACTTTTATAACTTGATTTTTCTCAAAAGGGGACTACACAGATACAAGCTGGCCTTGAATTCCCTGTGTAGCACAGGTTGACCTCAAAATTCATGGTCTTTCCATTTTAGCTTCCTGAGTACTGAAATTACAGGTGTGTATCACCATGCCTGGCTTGAAGTAGTCTTTTTTCTTTCTTTCTTTCTTTTTTGGAACGAGCTTCACTATATAGCCTAGTACTTATTATGTAGATCAAGTTGGCCTCTAACTTGTAGAGGTCCACTTGTCTCTGATTCCTGAGGACAGGTGTATACCACCATGTCTGGCCTTGGAGTAGTCTTTAAATGAAGGCTTTAACACTCCTTAAATCCAAATTAATAAAACCATGCTCTTAGCCAGGCACGGTGGTGCACGCCTTTAATCCCAGCACTCAGGAGGCAGAGGCAGGTGGATCTCTGTGAATTCAAGGACACACTGGGCTACATAGGACAGCTGGGGCTGCCGGGAGACCCTGTCTCAAAAAGACCAAAAAAAAAAAACCAACCATGCTGTTATAGATGTTATAGAATATTAATATGACCCAATTTATTTATGGTCTCAGATACTATTAAAAATACATTAGCTACACATATAAGAACTTTAAAAAAACTATAAAAAGTTAAAAGACTAGAAAAATATAAAATATGAAAGAACCAAAAAAAGGGAAAGATGAGATCACTTCACAATTACACAGAGAAAATAGTATTTTCAATAAATGCTTTTAAGTAAGTAACTTATCTAGTTACTCTTATAAAAGTGTTACTATAGGCATGATTGTGCTTACATACCTACAATAATAAAAGAAACTAAATAGGAAGAGGCAAGAAATGAAAGAGACACCGAAATTTGAAAGATAAACTTCTAAAAAAGTTGAAGATTCTAAAGAAAACCATTAAAGAAACAAAGATAAAAGACCAGGAAGGCACCCACAAAGAACGTTTCAAGAACTAGGTATAGGGGCTAGAGAGATAATTCAGCAGTTAAGAGCTTTGGTTGTTCTTTCGGAGGACCCGGGTTCGGTTCCCAGTGCCCGGTGGCACCTAACAACCACCTGTAACTCCAATTCCACGGGATCTAACACTCTTTTTGACTTCCACCAGCATAACACGCACATGGTACACTTATATACATGCAGGCAAAACGCACACATAAAATAAAAATAAATACAACTGGGTACAAATCCTTTCCCATCTCCTCCCCATATCAATTTGCTGCTAGGTTTGATAAAACTCAAATGCTCTTCAAGACCTGGCAGTGCACACCTGTAACTCCAGCCAGGATGAGACAGGAGGATCCTGAGTTTGAGGACAGCCTGGGTCTATGTAGTAAAAATCCTGTCCAGAAAACCTAATTAAATGAATTCTGTCTAAAAAAGCTAATTAAATGAATAAAGTAATTTCAAATCCTTTCATTTGGTTTTAGAAATTAGTTTTCTAGCAAACGTGTAGGTAATAATGAAAATCTGCTGCCCCCTGCTGGTCATTCAAATTCTCCAAATGAAACAGAGAGCTCATTTTGGAGACAACTGTGTTTCTAAAGAACTAAATAAATGTTTTCTTTAAAAACATTTGTATTTAGGTACTCCAAAGCTTGGAAGTTTTCAAGCATGATATAAAATTTCCAAACTCAAAATTTTCTGAACAGTTAATCTCAGCTTATGATGTTTGAGATAT